ATTCAAATAAAGATGCTAAAAGTGAGTTAATGAGGGCCCCTGCATGAATAGAGGCAATTTGAACCTATATTATATATGTTAGTTAATAAAGAATTATTTTATTATTATAATTGTATTTCTGTACATTATTGTATTTTGTTTTATTATTATATTAATATAATTTGAAATAATGGGTGTTTGTATCTTCTGTAAAGCTGTCATGAAGATGTGAATAATTTATAATCTAGTTATAATGTATAATATAATGTAATTAATGAATAAAAGTTTGCATTACAGTATTATATTAATAATATATAGTTAAACACATTTTATCTATTAATTTAAATATCACATTAATTTATAATGACCATATTATTATTCATTATTATTGTTTTGTTTTGTAATTCTTATAATAATGTGCTTCAATAAAGCTGTCATTGAGTTTCTCATTGAATAAAAGTTTCTCGTTTCCCATGATCTGAGAAGCCATGGATCTGCATTTAAATAATACCTTTATATCAATATGGAGATTGTGTAGATTAGTTCAATTTACATAAAAAGTGTCTCTATTAGATGAAAAATATCTGAGCAGAAGGATTTTCATTGCGGCTCATTGTACCGTCACTTTGATTAATTTCAACCATTTTCTCTCATTGATCGTCTAATATGTGATGTAGCTAAAACAAAACGCAGACTTTTATCGGAAACCTCATGAAAGAACTAAACGAATTACTCGCAGCCCTCGAGCCGACCTGCAAAGTGTTAGATTTGAACAGACTCTCTAATCTAATCATTAGTGCAAGGACAAATTAAATTTAACTGCTAAAGACTCAAAGTGGGAGGCTGGTTACGGTGTTCGCTCGAATCCAACATTTTAATTACCGCATCAGGCTTTTTGTAGTTTCCCCATGGGAAGCGCGGGCCGAGGTGAGGCCAGGGAAGCGAGGAAATCTGCTGCTTTGGAAGATGTACTTGTGAGGAGAGGCCAAGTTCATGGTGGCCGAGCTCAAGGCTCCTCTGAGGTCAGCGTGTCTGTAATGTATTCAGAGGAGGAGATCTACCCAAGGCCAATGGGAGCTGAATGCTAGTGTACTGGCTTTGCTGTGACGGCCTTAAACTTGTGCTTTTCCAACCACTGTTTATAAGTTAGCCCTTGTTAGCAATGAAAAGATTTAGTAAAACACTTTTTGACTGATAAAAAAGGAATACATGATTTTTACATTTTCTGCAGAAAACATGAGTGTTACTTGCCGTAGAAAGTGCTGCTAATTCGTTTTTTTTTTTTTAATCTTTGTGACTCCTCTTAAGTAAACTTATTTGATTTCAGTTGGTTGCCAAGACCATTTTTTATATCATAATATATATATATGCTGTATATATATATATTAAAAAAATTTCTTCAGTTTTTGCAATTTTAGTAATGTGCTTTTGTTATTTTTATTAGTTTTTGTAGATTTGTATTTTTTATTTTTCCGTTTTGCATTAATTTATTTTTGTTTTAGTTTTCATTATTTTAGTACTTTTGTTTTACTAACATTTTTGTAGTTTTAGTATTTTATTTCATTTGGTTGTAAATGTGCGATTTTATTTTTAATTTTTTTGTTTTGTTTTTCTTTTTTCTTTTCATTTTTGTTTAACATATAGTATGCTTTTGTCATTTGATTGTTTTTTATTCGGTGTTGTTTTCATTTATTTTTTATTTCAGTTTTAGTTGTAGTCATTTTTGTATTTATGTATTTATTTATTTGTTTGTTGTTGTTGGTTGCCAAGGCATAATTTTTATTTTTTTATTTTTGTTTTTACAGTTTTTATTTTGCTTTTTGTTTAAGTTTCAGTCATTTTAGTAAGGTGCTTTTGCCATTTTATTATTTTTGATGTTTTTTTTTTTATATTTCTATTTTTCTTTCTTCCTTTTTTCAGTTTTCACTTTTGTTATTTTAGTACTTCAACTTTTTTCCCCCCTGTTGGTTGCCAAGGTGTTTGCCAGTAACTAATTTTCCTTAAGTGTTTTTTAATCTAATATTCATATTTTATTTTATTTCCGCTTTATTTTAATGAACTAAACTACTTTTAATATTGTATTCACCACTTGTAGTATCTGTTCTTTAAAAACATCCCAGCCTTGTTTTCATGTCCTCCTGTTGTTTATCTCGCCACATATCATGTAAGAGTTTGTAATAATATCCATAGAGGAGAAAATAGATGTGAGATTAGCCTTGAAGAGTATCAGGCTAATAACAGAACATCCCGAGGCTCTCCACAGGCCGCAAAACCATCATTTTTCCATAACAACATAATGCTACGTGATGCCATTTTGCTGCTACTACTACGACTAAGGCCATAAGTGCACAGATGCAGATGTGAAACCTTTTATGCAAAGCAACATGCATTGCAGCAGCATTATTTTAGTATTGTTTATATAGTATTATAATATTTATTATTATTTTGATTTAGCTTTTAAAAAAAATTTATTCATTTTTAGAATTACAGATTTTTTATTTAAATGTTTGTTTTTAAATTAACATGTATTTATTTATTTATTTTAGTGCTGTCAAACGATTAATCGTGATTATTAATTGCATCCAAAATAAACGTTTTTGTTTACATAATATATGTGTGTGTTCTGTGTATATTTATTATGTATATATAAATATACACACATACAGTATATATTTTGAAAATATTTCCATGTATTTCCATATATATATTTATATTAATATAATTGATATTATTTATAAATATTTAAAATATATAAACATAACATATTTTTCTTAAATATATACATGCATGTGTGTGTATTTATATATACATAAAAAAAAAAAACAGTACACACACATACATATTATATAAAAAAAAACTTTTTTTTTATATACACACATACAGTATATATTTTGAAAATATTTCCATGTATTTCCATATATATATTTATATTAATATAATTGATATTATTTATAAATATTTAAAATATATAAACATAACATATTTTTCTTAAATATATACATGCATGTGTGTGTATTTATATATACATAAAAATATACACATCACACACACATATATTATGTAAACAAAACTTTCATTTTGGATGCGATTAATCACGATTAATCGTTTGACAGCACTAATTTATTTTGAATTCATAATTTTTTTTATTTAAGTTTAAGTTGTTTTAGTACTTCAACTTATTTTATTTCAGTTGGTAGCCAAGGCATTGGACAATTGACAATTTTCATTTTATTTGTATTTTTTTTAAGTAAAATTATTTATATTTATATTTCATTTCAGTGTTATTTCAATTTTAATTTTGTTTTATTATTTTACTTAATTCATTTAATTTAATTTTAATTCATTTTTTTTAGCACTAAAAACAAATTTATGCTAAATAAACTGGCAGACAACTGAGTGTCAGAACTTTACTGTAAAAAATACAGTAGCAACATTTAAAATATTACAGATTTAAGTTATATTTTCATTAAAAAAAACTTAGTTAAACTGACAGCCAAAAGATGTAACACAAAAACCTTATGTACATTAAAAACAATCTACAAATGTGAGCTGTCACACTAGCAGTTCTGGGAATTTTAAAGATACATCAACAGTATAAGATGACTCGCTCTTTTTCACTTCCAAAAACTGTACATTTAAGAGTATTTTACTCTAAAACTACTTGTGTTTACATGGATGTATTTTAATTCAAGTTGCTAGCAATAAACATTTAGTTTTACCTGTTGAACTAGTCAGAAACCTAACCACAGAAGATGTCAGTTTGCACTAATGGCGATGATAGCATATTGTTTGTACATCATAATACAGCGACATTCATTATTCAGTTTTCCCATAGTTTCCTGAGCTTCATCATCTGTCCACGGCAGCCCTCCGCTTGTAATTAGCAGTGAATATTCAGCGCTGGCTCGCAGAGCTCCAGAGATGAAAGTGTAGTGGCTCCTCCTTGCGAGGCTCCACGCAGTCGACTGGACGTCTTTCACAGCGCCGCTAGCCTTCAACTCCCTGCTTCACTATTTCATGAGCAGGACCAAAGAGAAGAGCTAATTGCCCACAGACAGCTCTATCAAAATAAGGCCTTCACAGAGGACGCTGCTTACGCTGAGGAGAGAAGAGGCGCTTCTCTTAAGACGGACTGCTGTTGTTCTTGACCGTCTACCTGAAAGTCACTCGTGTTCACGCTGATGAAAGTTGTAAAGCATATTTCATCAGTGTTTCTGGAAGTCTTGAGGAACCCAGATTTGAATTATTTATCATCAGTTTTGAGGAAGCTGCTTTATGAGTTGCAAGCTCCTGTATTTATTTCAAGCAAGGACAGAGTTTAGTTACATGCTGCTGTTTTCGACTGTATATTTCATAAAATAACTGGATTTTGGATTTTTGGATTTTGAAAACAGATCACGCTACTGAAAAGTGTAGTTAAATTAGTAGCAACAACTTTTAGTTATTTTGCAATATTGTTTACCTGTTTATTGGTTTGGTGTTCTGTGACCAATACAGTTGATAGTTGTGGACGACTTCATTCACATTGATCAGCATTTCCATTTTTTTTTGCTTCAGGCTCATGATATGAATCTTTAAGTTCGTTTTCAACTCATAATAAAATATTTATTCATGCCTTATTATTTGCATTGCATAAGAAACTGCTTAAACCGCACAAAACCACCCATGAATAACGAGGGATTCTGAACGTTATTAAGGAAATGCAGGCCACATTCATCATGATATTAATCTTATGCACTGCAATGCATATGTAAACGTTTTAAAGAAGCTCTCATGCACATTGCTGTGAAAAGTGATATGCTGCTGAAATAATAATGGACTGATTCATAAGAATCTTCACACTGTAAATATGTAAATCCACAAATAAGATCTCTGTCACATTAAAGAGGTGTTTGCAACAGCACATTTTGAGCGTGTAGGTTCACTTTTTGTTCACATTCCACTGGCTTTATTTTATTGTATTTAGATGATTTAGTTTTAGTTAGCGATAATAACCCTGATTCTCTTTCTGTCTTTGCCAGTGGGATGCGATCAATGAAATGGACGAGTATTTCAGCCCCATCCACACGTACCAGGTGTGCAACGTTATGAGCCCGAGTCAGAACAACTGGCTCCGGACCAACTGGATCCAGCGAGACGGCGCGCGGCGCATTTACATCGAGATGAAGTTCACGCTGCGAGACTGCAACAGCATGCCAGGCGTGCTCGGTACCTGCAAGGAGACCTTTAACCTCTACTACTACGAGACCGACCGCAACGTTGGCACCAGCATCTGGGAGAGTCAGTTTTCCAAGATCGACACCATCGCAGCCGACGAGAGTTTCACTAACGTGGACCTGGGGGTGAGGAGACTCAAGCTCAACACTGAGATCCGCGGCGTCGGGCCGCTCAGCAAACGCGGCTTCTACTTGGCCTTCCAGGATATAGGAGCCTGCATCGCTGTTGTGTCCGTCCGAGTCTATTACAAACGCTGCGCGGGAATGGCTCGCAACCTGGCCGTCTTCACGGACGTGGTCACGGGGGCCGACTCGTCCTCGCTGGTGGAGGTCAGAGGTCAGTGTGTGGACCACGCTGAGGAGAGGGACACTCCTAAGATGTACTGCAGCGCTGAGGGCGAGTGGCTCGTTCCTATTGGACGATGTGTGTGCAGCGCCGGCTTTGAGGAGCATAGAGACAACTGCATTGGTGAGTGACAATATTATTCTGCATGAATTTTGAGTACTTTGAACAACTGGATTTTTTACATTACCCAGCCCAGCCAATGATATTCTGGTCACTAGATTTATTTTTTATTATCTGGTAGAATATGAGGATGTGGGACGTTGTTGAGGATGTTACATGTGTTTGATAATTAGGGATAGAGGTTTGTAAAAATCAGTAGTCTTAGCCTTAATGAGAACCATTAAATTAGATGTAGCCATTAATCATAAATGCTTGATATAATAATTAGGGAGGAGATAAGAAGGCTGAGTAGTTGCTTGGTCTCCAACAATATATATATATATAT